TGGATTAAATTTAAATTAAAAATTTTTAATTTAAAATCTCAAATTTTTAACTAATAAATCACCCCTCAACTATAAATTGAACCTTAGTTAACGAGTAAATTTCTTATCAATTAATTATAAATATATTTAATATTAAACATTATTTTAGTTGTATCTTTATCTATTAATATGGTTACATCTGTATATGATTATGTGTGGCTTCTTTTAATTACTAGAAATTAAAGTTTGTTTGGTATAATTGTGATTTTAAATTTTTTGTTTTAGTTATTAAAAATTTTGTAACTAGTAAAAACTCAAACTAAAAGTTTAAATTTTGTTTAAAATAAATGTTAACATTTATCATAATAAATATTTACTTGTTTAATAGCATTAAATTTATTTTTGTTCTTATTCCTTTAATAATTATATTAAGATATTACAAAAATACATCAAAGTAAAGAATTTTTTTTAAAGTTAATAAAATTTATAAAAATCAGAAGTAAAAACTCAAAACCATCACTATAATAAGAAAAAATTGTTTTACGATTTAAATTATTTCAGATTATAAAACAATAATTTTTAAATAAAAAATGAAGCTCTCAATATTCAATCTCTCCTTCTATTAATTTTTTTTATTTTATAATTTAAAATAATTTAAACGGTAAAATAATAAATTGTCATACTAAATATAACTATTTAATTGTAACTGGGGTGGGGGTGAAACATATTGACAAGTAGTAACATTAATGGATCAGATAACCACTAAAATGATACGGGTTCTTATTATTGTGTAAAATATTTTTCAGTTCTGTACCTTTTTAACTCTTCTCTTATTTATTATTTTTTGTTTTCATGTATAGAAATGTATTGAAGCCCTTTCTTTGTCCAGATGCGTTTAGCGATCTCCAAACATTTCGCGTTTGGTTTGATTTTTTTATGTTATATATCGTGGTCTACCTTTTTAATCCAATTTGAAAATGGGTTTAAAGCTGATGAAGATATAAACAATGAAATCAAACAACTTTCTACGCTATCCTGTCTTTTAGGCCAGCACTTTTAAAAGTTGAAATTGATGGACGGAAGTGATGGGACGTAGGACTGGAGAAATTCCGTTTTATCAGCCCTAAATCTTAAACCTAAGCCTATTATCTACCAAAAACAGAGGACGGCCCACCTCAATTATCTCAAACTAATAAAAAAAAGACATTGATTGTAATGTATCATTTTGGTTAAACCCCAATTTGGTCCTTCAACTATTATACAGACTCTGATTTGGCTCTAGACTAAAAAAATCTCTAATTTGATTCTTAAATTATTGTACGAATCCCTAATTTGATCCCTAATGCTTACCAATTTGTCCTAAGTTGATCATTCCATACAAAAAAAAGTTGATGTTTTTGTTATTTAACAATAAAAAATAGTAACTTAATGACAAAAAACAATAATTTAATGATCACGTGTTATGTTAATAATAAAACATGTCAGTTAGTTTTATGAAATGACCAATTTGAGATAAATTGGTCAACAATAGGGACCAAATCGAGGGTCCATATAATAGTTTAGGGACCAAATCAAAGATTTTTTTAGTTCATAAAAAAAATCAATAGTTTATACAATAATTCAGGGATCAAATTGGGGATTTAACCTATCATTTTTTGTTGGCTCAATGTACTCCAAAAGGGGGTGAATTGGAGTTGAAAATTTTTCACCTCTTTGCAATCACCAAACAAAAATAAAAAAGAGAGTAGGGAAAAAGAGTTTGCACAATAATTTTATAAATGTTTGGTCTAACCACTTGAAACCTAATCCTCTACCTTAACTTCAATTACTAAGGATTTCCTCCACACTCTCTACTCTTAAGAATAATGATGGCTTAAAGGAACCATTCACTCCTTTTATAAGATGATGAGTATTTCTCTCAAATCTCACACCTTTACAATATAAACCTCAAGAATCCTATCTATAGATCATTCTTGAAGGATTAATCATACCCAAGATCACTCATAAATAGAACAAGAAGAAGATTATAAGTAAAGATCTTTCAAAGATCAAAAACTGAAGTTAAAGAACATGTAGGTAAGTAAAGATATTCAATGCAATATTCTAAAACTTGTTCCGAATTTTCTACCAACCATATTTATAACCCCATGGTCGAAAATAGTCATTACTAGCCGTTGGGAATCATTAAATGCTCTGTAAGTCACTTAATTTAAGTTGTAGAATTGTTAGCACAGCTGGTTTACACTTATAGAACCGACTCTACAGTCGGCTTAAAGAAATCTGCAACCGACTTTGCGGGTTTCCTACGCATTCTATTTTTTCCGTAGAACTAGCTGCAAAACATAAAGCCGACTTTGGGATTCTGACTTTAAAAACATTAATTAATCTTCAAATAACTCGACCGTTGTGTATTAAATGCGTCCTTACAGCCGGCTGCAAAGTCAAAACCAACTTTACGTCTGTTTTTCGTGCACTTCAAACAACGAATTTCAAATTTTCACCCGTAAAGCTGACTGCAGCTTCTAGAACCGGCTCTCTGCAGTTTTAACTCTCTAGAGCTGGCTATAAATTTTTTTAAGCCGGTTCTTTGCACTTTTTCAACCTTTTTGTCTATTTTTAATGCAATCCAAATTTACTTGCTTTGCTATTTTTTTGACAATTTAACTACACACTTAAATAAATTAATTAGTTACTCAAATGTATTTTGTAATTATCAAAATTATAAGTACAACATTTTTTAGGTAAGATTTAGTAGAAGAAAATTTTTTCTTTAAACTCTCTTTATTTGAATATTTTAAAGCTATTTACATATTTTTAAAACCTTAATATTACAACAAACAATGGGTATAAATGTTACATTAATCTTTATACTTTTTTCACACTTTTTTGGATGGAAAATTTTTTTTTCTTTTCTTGTATAGGATC